ATAGATGGAGCACACATTATTGACTGGGGATTAGTTTTTAATTTTCAAGATGCTATGTGAAGATATGAAATAAGAATCTTATTCCCATCTAGTCTCAGTATAAAATTTAAGAACTAAGAACACATCACCTGCTTTTCATTAGATACATTTCAGTTCATGTAGTTACCATAGTATTTACCTTAAAATAGGGAAAATTATAAATTTTGATTATAGCCATTAAAAATAAAAATAATCTATTTTTAATATTCACCAATTCCTTATTTGAAAATTTAAAGCCTTCTTTCAAAATTGACTACAAACATACTTTAGATAGTAATCATGTGTAAACTTAATTGTAAAGCTTTTTTACTTCGTTATAAAGTGTTTAAACTATTTTCTCTTACTGTTCAAATAAAAATTGTTTTCAATTTTTAGTTATCTACAAGCTACATTGAAAAGTAATCTCTTTTACATGGTTCAGAATATATGATTTTATAAAATTCTTTAGACATGTTTTAATAAATCTGCTAAATTTCAATTTACTTTACACATTGTAAACAGTACATTTGTTTAATTTGCTGCACTATCATTCAACTCTTTGATGAAATAATGCTTTAAAAAGGCATGCAGGCTTTCTTCCTTTTTATGAATGATGGCTTTTGCATGTTTTTCCCATGTTAAAAATGAATATATTAATCCAATCTGTCTCCATTTCTCAAATAAAGTTGTGCTTTTTGGGAATTGGTAATCAGTTGTTTAACAACCCTTTAGAACTTAAATCTTGAATGTTTTAACACCAGACTGTGAAATAAGGCAGAATTCAAAGATATTTTATGTTCTTCATGATAATCTAGAATTTTTATTTAATTCCAGGTAACTTTGGACAATTGACATGATGGGATGTTTTCCTTTGTAAGTAACAATTTTATAAATGACAATGTAATTATATCATTGAAATAAAATAGAGTGTGGGCTTAATACATTATAAATATTACAGAAGTACTACTTTGCTATAGTAATTTAATGACTGAAGCTACAGTGAATAACAATCTTACTGGTACTTGTGTACAAAATATTATACAGATTACTAACAACGAAACTGCAGCAGTTGCAAGGATGTTACCAGCTCAACAAACACCTAACAATACAATATTTTTCTAAGAGGAAAAGTAATAATGTTAGATTTACAGACAATAAAGAATTGTTTTCCACTTGAAACGTTGGAAGAACCCAGATGATCTAGTATCTTCATTTATATTATTACAAGAAAAGGTTTCCTTTCCTGGGGACTCCAATCCCCAGCAGGCCTAGTGCACTAAATTTAAGTGAAGACAGCTTTTAGGAGGCTACAGCAAAGGAAAGAAACTCTTCTATCTGAAAATTACTGATTCGTAGGCCACTGCTTCAACATCTGACTTTTTTTTAACCTATTTACATACATTCAGCCCAAATCAGTAGATAAAATGTTTTGTCTATATTACAATAGGCATTGTTAACATTTCATCAGAAGGCCAGTGCAAGACATTTGTTAATAGCCATTGCCCAGCATTTAGGAGATTTTAAAATATCATACAAATATACAGCTAGATTGTGAGAAATCTAATTTTGCGCATGATATTGGTGGTCGCTTTTACAGACATGGAATGGCAGAAATTAATCATTAGGGCACTAACTAGAATGCTACTCATCCAGGCTCTAATTCTCATCTGGTGGTAGGGTGAGTGTAGGCGGCTAAAATGCCTTGACACCTAATGCCAGATAGACTTGACTCAAAGTGATGGATGGGGAGGCTTGGGAATCATCTCAAGTGTAGGCATATGTCGGCAGCTTTTCCCAGATCTGTTTCTTTTACATATATTTCACAGATAATGAAAAATTAGAGGTTCTTGGGAACAGCCCTCCTTGTCTAAACAACTGCTCTTTCTCTTTTGCTAGCCACAAAGCTGCTTACTGTGACGAGTTTGAGCTGGTTCAGAACACATGTATGTATACCCCTATTATGTACCAGCCACTACATTAACAAGTCTGCCCACATCTCTAAGAGCCCCATGCAAAGAAAAGACATTCCCAGTGTAGGAATGAAAGATTCATCATTACTATGAAGAAAGTGAGCAGGTTGGAAGTTTGGCCCTTTCTGACGACATATGTGATGGTGAAATGCATGGTCAGGACAAATGTATTATTCTCAGAGGAAAGTAGATAACTCTGAAGTTGGACCTTTAAACATTTATTGAAATCTAAATTATGTTTAAATTAATAGGTCTAATTAAGGAACTAATTAATGCATTATACTAATAAATGGTAACTCTAATGAGTATATTCATGAGAGAACATCTGAGTAACCTGGTTAAGAAATGATATTAAAAGTGTCAAAGGGAATCAAACTAATTTGTTTTAAAATGAAGGAGTATAACACATACATGATGATATTTCACAGATATTTCTTAGAATATCAATAAGCACCAAGTTTAGTGCTGTCAGCCCCATGGTCCCTTCATTGATTATATATGATTTAGATCTTGAAAGCACAACACACTATAAAATCTACATTGCATACATACAAATACAGTTTCAAAAATGAATCCTGGAGATTTGTTGTGTTGTTTTTTTGCCAATAAGTAGAATTTCGCTTTTACCATGTCTTCATAGCTGTGAGATGGAAGTTTGTATTGTCTGGTGAGCTCTGAGACATGTAGATTAATATTCAGGCTAATGCGGGACAAAAGAGTGGCATTTCTTAAATGAAAACTAGACCCTGGTGAGTTTTTTCATAAAGAATCTTTTCTCCTTCTTCTAAAGAGATCTTATTAATGCTCTAGCAACCTGAGCCCTCATCTGCATATCACAGAGAGGTAAAGCAAGGGAACCAGTGGGTGGATTTGAGCTATGTACACAGATGATTAAAGCATCTCAGCTTGGTCCACAGGCCACGTTCAGCCTTAGGCCAGGCTGCACAGGTATCTAAATATCTAAAAAGTCACCAAAAACACTAGCTCTCCATTTCACTTCATGCTACGCAGGCCTCTGGATCCTGCAGGAGCCATGCTTTGTCTGCATAAGGAGAAGATTATAAGTAAAGTTTGCCAGTCAAGTGGTTTCTTAAGCAGTATCCATTTCTTAAGCTTGCTGGGAAAGGGCCTGATTCTGAGCACCATTAAGGAGTAGCAGACCAGGGTGTGGGAGGAAAGGAAGCCATGCTCATCCTTATGCTGTGGTAGATCTTGTTTACCAGGACCAGAGAAGAGGTCTATTCCTTAACCCAAACCAGCTGGGTGCTGGGTTGTCCCCAAGGGCGTCTGGGTGAAGCACAGAGCAGCCATATGTCATCCAGGCCTCTCTCACGCGTGTGTCAGCTCCTCACTGCCCTTTTCGGTCTCACCCACCCACTCACTGTCTGATAGGCCCCTTGGCCACACCGGCTGGACCTGGCCGTCTCACTTCCAGCAAGTCGTGTATGTTACTTAAGCCGGGATCACATTACCTACAAGCACAATCAAAAAATGTTACCATTGTAGGATTTTTAGAACCACTTCCCTTATAATGACTTACATCTCCATGGACTTGATTCGTATTAGGTGCTCAGAAACTAAAACACTCTCATTTCCTGCTATTAACACTGTAAATACAGACCTTCGCTTAAATGTCCATTACTGATTATTCCTTGCTAAACACTGGTCTTATGAAATACCTGAAGGTCAATTTAGTAATACTTGACTCAGCCTCTTAAAGGCAGTGGTAAGGGTGGGGGAGGGGGAGGGTTCTGAATGCTCATGGTCAGTATTTTTATCAACAAGATTATCCCAATGAACTCGATTTTAGAAACTGAATTCATGTACAAGAGTGCAGCAAGTGGTACAGTTTACACTTGGTCACAGTTTTCTCACTTTATGACATTACGGTAACAGTTGCAGGATAGAAACACACACGTACACACATTTATATTCACACTCACGCACAGTACAATTTTACTGATCCAGACAATACTTCTTTTCAATTAAGAAAAAAAATGAAGACTGCTGTTTGGCCACCCAGGCATAAAATCTACTTAAACCTGGAATATAAGAATACAATACTCTTCAAGTAAACAGCAATTGCACAGTGATAACAATATACATTAAGATTGACACATGCTGTCTTAAGAGGTCCAGTAATAGCTAAAGACTAAAGAAAGTCAGAGACATCAGCCAAAAAAGTCAATATACCTTTCCCCCCTGTTATAATTGTAATCCATCATCCAAGAGAATAGCTTTAGTCCAGAAGATCATAAATGTCCTTGTATGAAAATGCAGAGCTAATAAATTTTTAAGTGTCACTAAATTCTGCTCAATACTTTGGAGAGTCTTCCAATTCTTCTTGTTGTATTAACAGAAAACAACAACAACCACCGTTATCATTATTTCCAATGTCAAATTTAAAGAGATATTTGAAAAATATTAAGGTTTCTAAAGTTATATCACGGGCAATACTCTTTAAAAAAAAAAGTGGTCTCGGCGTATATCCACTGCTTATATCCCACTGTTTTCATAAAATTCTACTTTTCAGTTTTGCTGAACTAGACAAATATAAACAACACACAGTAAACACCGGTACACATTTCACAGGACACAATACATTTTACAAAATAGCTCTACTTTAGTACTATAACTGCTGTAAAAATGGACAGCTCTGATACTGATGGACAAATACATTTCACATTATAATGAAAGTGGTGGTTACAAAGGCATTACTCATTTCATGGCATTGTTCCAGTGGTACTTAGACTGCAAATTGTGTAGCAAAAGCCTTCCCTCCTGTTTCACTGACACTTTGAAGGACCTTCCAGTCACTTAAGCAACAGGCTTTCTTCACTGTAAATCCCTGGAGAACTGAGTCTGAGAATCTAAACTATCAAAACATCAGCGAACAGACAACTGATCATGGTAACAATCACTTTTTCAATGAGCATGATAAACTTAAAAAATATAACTGATGCGACGACAGACTCTTCTAGATTTTTAGCTTAAAAAAAAAATAATTTCTTTTCCTGCGTTGCCCATGAGGCATCAGGCTCACACAGCCTCGGCAGATGTGTCTGTAGACACAGACATGGTCACCTTGGCGATCTTGACAGTGCTCTTGATGCAGCTCTCCGTGGCCCTGTGAGCACTGGCTGTGTTGTTTGCGTGTTTGTGCAGGCAGTCCGAGTCACCCATGCTGTTATCAAGGGGCTGCGCGGTGCCTTCACACGAGGGGAACATACTCCGGAACGCGTGTCTCAGGTCCTTGCTCCTCAGAGCATAGATGATGGGGTTCACGGTGGAATTCAGCAGGCAGAGCATACTGCAGAAGGCAAACACCGTCTTAACGAGCTTGTTCATCTTCCCAAAGAGATCATACACCATGATTGCAAGCAGAGGGCCCCAGCAGATGATCAAAACCACAAGGATCAGGACCAGGGTCTTCGCCAGCCTGATGTCCATGCGGGTTTGGTCCGGCCGCGTCACCTGCACCTTGCCATCCTCCGACGTGTGGATGATGATGCTCTTCTGGGTGCCGCGCTGAATCATGCGGACCGCGTGGCTGTGAGCCTTCCAGAGAATGTACATGTATGCGTACACGATAAACAGCAGCAGCACACTGGTGACCCCAATCCAGAACATCAGGTAGGTTTCATCGATGAGTGGGAAAATGTCTGAGCAAACCGATTGCAGTTTCTTGCAGTTCCAGCCCAGGAGAGGCAGCACGGCGATCACAATTGCTATGGTCCACATCAGGCAGAATGCCACCACAGCCTTGGGCCTGGTGACGATTCTCTTATAGGCCAGGGGCCTGTGAATAGATATATATCTGTCGATGGCTGTGAGGAACAGGCTGCCAACCGAGGCCGTGAAGGAGGCTGTGACGCCGCCCAGTTTGAACAGAAAGACGTTGGGGCTATCTTTGCGGTGGAACACGTGGAAATCAACGAAGCTGTAGACGAAGATGACGCTCCCCAGAAGGTCTGCCACCGCCAGGCTGCCGATGAAGTGGTAGGAAGGCCTGCAGCGGAGGCTGCGGGAGTGCAGGATGACGCACAGCACCAGCAGGTTCTCCAGAACCGTGAAGGTGCCCAGCGTGAGGGACAGCACGGCGATGGCCAGCTGCTGGCTGGGGTTCAGGATCATGAAGCACTCCATGTCCATGAAGTTCTCCCCGCACTGAATGTTCTCATTCTCCTTGTAGGACGAAAGAGACTTGTTGTAAAATTCGGTAATGTTCACCTGGTCCGCTGGGACCAACTGAGGGCTATCTCCCGCAGTCATCTTTTCTTGGAAGGGACTTCCCCTGAAGGAAGTTAAAGGGAATTTCTGCGGGAAGTACCCTAGTTTGGACGCCATGTCGCCTTTGATATCTTCGTACTGAATGTCATTCGAGCCCACGTAGAGCAGGTCCGTGGTGATGGTGCGGAAGGTGGTGTCTGCAAGGCCATCTAGGATCGACTTCATACCCTCTGTCTTCTAGTAGGCCAAACTCCAAATGACTGAGACAGAAGCTGGCAGCAGGGAATCCTAACAGGGAAAACAGATAAGCCGGATGGTGAGAAAACCAGAATTCAAACAAACGTCAATGAGTACCATCATGTTATTTCATTCCTGTCTCTGAATACAGGTAAAATCCTTGCCAGATTCGTCAACCAAATGAGTCAGTCACTTAGTTAAAGAAAAGCCACCCAGGAGTTGCTGATGTGGCATGCGCCAGAAACATGTTTCTTTCATTAGTTGAGTTCTCTGGATATGCCACTGTGTGAGTCCTCTATGGAGCGCCAGGGTCTGAGGGTCAAGTGAAGAACATGTGCTTGGATGTGGTGTGCATTTCACAGTCGGGTCAGGAAGTGTTTACCACCTGGCTTCTAAAGCCACCCACACACACGCACACACACACAAGCAGTATCTGATGTTCCTGAAGACTTTAATCACCTTGTCACACAGGTAAGACTGGATGTGCAAGACAACCAAAGAACAAGACAGTGTGGAATCAGAGACTGAGCTGTGTGGTCTGTGTGTTGAATGTAAAGGGGGAGTAAGAAACTGCTGGACCAAAAGGAAGAATGTGGTCATGCAGGAAAAGCTGGGTCCCAGTCCTGGCTCTAGCAGGCAAGTCTCTTCACCCAGTGGTGACACTTGGACTGAGCCATGGCTGAGAAAAACTTCTAAAATGTCTACACCAAACAAGGAATATGTCACAGAGGGCTAACATTCACTGGGGCTCATGAGAAGAGCAAGATTTTTTTTAAATCCTCACTCAAGAATATATTTTTATTGATTTTAGAGAGAGAGGAAAGGAGGGAGAGAGAGAAAAAGAGAGAGAGATCTATCACCTGCCTGTCCTACACACCTGATTGGGTATCAAATCTGAAACCTAGATATGTGTCCTGACTGGGAATTGAACCCGAAACCTTTTGGTGAATGGGACAACATTCCAACCAACTGAGTCACCCAGCCAGGGCAAGACCAATATGTATTGCCAGAGAGGAGTGATAATGGGCAGTGCTTCCTGGCTGTGTCCCCCATGAGTGGTGTGATGCCACAAGCACACTGAAGACCAGAGACAGGTCTCATCATTCAAGGCTACTCGCGTGGACGGCCCTAGAAATAAGGATGACTGAGAGAACAGGCCAAATTGTAAGGGCTCTTCAATTCTAAGCTAAGCAATTGGGTTTTGTTTTAAAATAAACAGCCAGAGAATTGATTTTACTATTTATAAATGCTTGTTTAAAATGTGGCTATTAGGCTCATTAGCTTATAAAAAAATTAGAAGTAGTGAGTGATATCTATAATAATCAAAATAATCACAAAAACCAATATTTATTTACTGATTCCAACCAGTCAAAGCACTACTAATGGAGAGAACACTGAGTTAGGAGTTACACAGACCAAGTGTTAGTGTCAGACCCATGTTAGTCTTTCAAAACTTCAGTATTTCATCTGTAAAATAGGAAGGAGGAGGAGGTGGAAGCCTAAATCATAGAATTGTGTTGAAACTTAAATATTTTAAAGAACACTTAACATAGTGCCTGGCACAAAATTTAACTCTTCAATATTAATTATTATCATTACTTAGTACTATGGCTCTCAGCCTTATTTATTAATTATATATCAAGATAATATCTAATTGCCCTATGATCTAATTGCCCTAATTGAATCATAGGCTGTTTATTCAATTTTTATTTCTGTCTCAGCACTTAAGGCACAAGGAAAATAGAAAATATACACATGGGTAAAGGAAGAGGAATATGTCTATTTGTATATTCCAGGTATTTGAGAAATTCTTCATTAATTCTATCGTTAAATTGTCATTACAACTCTATCAGGTGCTTATTTATAACTCCCATTTCACAGACAAGGAAATGGAGGCCAATTGGATGATAAGCTGTCCAGAATATGAAAAGTTTGTAGCTGAACCCATGTCTCTCAGACACCAGAGTTGCTGGTTTTGGTAGTTTTAAGGATTAACGGTAACTAGGAGAAAGCCGTTTTGCATCTTATATTCAAGCCTTCCAGCTTCTTACCAACACAAAATTGAGGCATTTTGTCAGTCCATTGTAATTAACACTACCTCCTACTAAATCACTATTTTCTATCTTAGCATCTTGTGGGATCTGCCTACTGGCATGGCCTCAAGGACTACAATCAGTAATTGGAAGAACTATAAAGTGAAGAAAAAGGATCACAGATCTTATTTCCATAATGCAAAACCGGTGTGCCTATGATTTACTCTAGATTAAAATCACCATATTTGTCACCACAATTTCCCATTTTAATGCAACCAAGCACTTTCATCAAAACAAATTATCTAGATAAAATATGAGTTAGATACAAAGTAATTTCTATCCAATATAGTCCAACTTTAATTAAAGAATACAGTTAAAAAATACACATGAATTTTGTGCAGTTCAAGGATCTCGGTAATGTCCAAATACCACAGTGCCCAGGCTATTTTAAGTTAATGGGATCGTGGCAGGAAAACTGTTCTCTGCATTTCAGTAATTCTTGCTTTTATTTCTACATTTGGTTATTACAGTAATTTTCACCTGCTCATTTTTTTGCACTGCGAGTTTTCTTTGAGAGTTCATTAGTAATATAGTTTACGCTTTGGGGGATGTGGCTGCCATTAATTTTGTTTTTGTTTGCTACTGGGAAAATCATAATTGGAAATTTCTAGCAAGATGCATAGTAGATGTACCTATTAAAAAAGCAGTTGTTTTTATTGCAGTTATAGTAAAAGAATGACTGAAAAATATATCAGGGATTTTCCTTGAATTCTACTTAAATAAACCAACATGTTCTAATAATTCAAGCTATAAATCATGCATTTGTAATAACAATAAGAATATTTTAATGCAATGCATCTATTATTTTTTAACTTGAATTTTTAAAAAATATATTTTATTGATTTTTTTTTTACAGAGCGGAAGGGAGAGGGATAGAGAGTTAGAAACATTGATGAAAGAGAAACATCGATCAGCTGCCTCCTGCACACCCCTTACTGGGGATGTGCCTGCAACCAAGGTACATGCCCTTGACCGGAATCAAACCTGGGAACTTTCAGTCCGCAGGCCGGTGCTCTATCCACTGAGCCAAACCAGTTACGGCTTAACTTCAATTTTTTAGAATACCACCACCAGTTATTTTAATCCATCTCTCTATATGCACACCTGCCTCTCCATTAATCCTTCCCCCCAAATTTATACATCAACTATCAAGCTATGGTATCATCCAAGAAATTTTATGGGTATGGCAGCAGCATGAGTTTTTTTAAGTCTACCAAAGTCTATATCTTTGTATATCTTTGTTTGTATAACCATTAAGGATAGAAGACATCCATGTTCTGATTAGGGTGAGCATCAAGAAAGTCCTCAAAACAAGACTACAAATAGCATTTTTTCCATATTAGTATAACTTAATAGCAGGTTATTTTATTCTTCACTACCCAGCTGGAGACCTTATATGTTTCAGAGAGACATTTCAACATTTTAGATATTATCACTGTTGTATCCAGAGTCAAAATCCCTGCAGTTCTGGCCTGTACAGCATCTCTGGGGGGACAGACACTAGGCAGTATTTGCTTCCCGCAGGTTGTCCTGTCCAGGAAGGCAGAAAAGCCACTGGAAACATCAGAAGGGTTGGTGCTCCCAATATAGTTACAGACTGTACCAGCTCACAAGGCTCTTTCTCCAAATTTCTAAGTTTATAAATGCTTTAAGGAGACAATGCCAAGCTCATAGTATCTAAATTGACAGGAGCCCAGGATATCAAATGCAGAAGTGCCAGAACCTGGCTTAATCCTGTTTTTTCCCTACCTTTTGCTGGTTCTGTGTTGTTCTGCTTGGCTAGCCTCAGAGAAGTCTTGTGAAGGGTTCAAGAGAACAATGGTGCCAGTGGATATATTTGTTTATTTTCCATTCACTTCTGGGAACAAGTCTGGTTTCTACTAATTTGATCAAGAAAAATAACTTGCTAATGTATTTCTTTAAAGTTAATAGGGAAATTTTTAGTTGACTCATAATTGCATTATGTCTAAGCCAAGTCCTCAATATACATGGATACTCTCACAGGCCAACATCATAACTCAATGAGTATTTCTGCTACAGCTGAGTGGGCAAGTAAGTCTGTTCTAACCATTAGAATTGGAATTATTAAAGTAGTTTGGTAAGTTATTGCATCATCTTCTATAGCAATGAGAAATAAAGGACTGACTTAATTATCCTGATAATTTAGGCAAAAATACACAATCCCTCTTCTTTGTATTAATGTCAGCTCCTTCTCCCATATATAAAAGAAAATTCCATTATGCTTGTAATGCTCAGTTGGTTCTCAAAGCTTTAGCTTTTCTTTCTTTTTTTTAAACATAGAAGTTATTAATTAGCACTATTTTCTCTGGTCTATTCTTGCTAATAAAATGAGTGTTAGACTTTTCATAAATATATATCAATTATATAAGCTAAACAGACAGTAAGACCTTATAAGGCTATATTTATTTTCAAATTTGATCTGAAGTATGCTTAATCATTTAACATTTAAAGGCTTGCTAAAAAAAAAAGGAGTTTTATGGCTCAAGAAACTAAACCACACCAGATAAGCACTCACTAGTAGGTGATGATGCCACAAGAAGAGCCTATCACACAGGCAAATAATTGATATAAACAGAATAATTTGCTGACTTTTATAACTAATTCCATTTACCATTTAATTTTGCTCTGCTATTTTGATGTTTCCCACTGATATGTGCCTTTGCTTTTTCCCCTCCAGAGAGAAACCTTTTCTACATAAACTATAAAGAAAATAATTAAGCATAATTGAAGCAGCCTTTCCTTGAAATAGAACATATAAAGTTTTCAATTCCGTAGAAGCCTGGTTCACATATAAACACTCCATAGGATTGTCTTTAACTTGCATATGAGGTCTGGTCATTAAAAGTCAGAAGCAATATATTATTCTGATCTGTAATGTGTATAGAACCTATTAGATAATCTGTACAGTCCATTACCAAGGACAGCAATAATTTTGAA